TTTTAAAGGCATATTTTCCCAGCTTTTAGTGCATAAGTGCATACTTATTTAGCCATTTCTTAGAGCATGAACTCACGAGCCCTGGTTAGAACTAAATGATATACAAGTGCAACTGTGTTCTAGCGTTACAATCAACAATAACAGCCSTAGTTTCATATAACAGAAAAGTAACGAGTATGTTTCACTGTAAATGATAAAAAATATTCAGAACTGATCCCTAGTATAAAATATGAATTTTTTCTATTGAGTATAATAAATATAACTGAATATTTAGGTAGTCATATATTCTTGGCACTATATTGTTAATTGTTAAATACATATAATTTTGGGTTTTAGATTAACTCTATAAAAAAAAATAAGAGTAGTTATTTTTTTAATTTTACCTGTATTCTCAAAAGGAATATTTAATATTTAAAAAAAAATACCATTGTCATATGTAGTACATAAAAACCAGCATCGCCAAATAGAATAAATTTAGATTTTTAGATAGATGAAAGAATATATTATGAAAAAAATAAAGTTTTACCTAGTTCTCAAAAAAGGAAATTAAAAGAAGAAAAAAATAAAATAATTTTAAAATTTCCAAAAATTACACATGTTTCAACCACAGGAAGAACAGATTAATATGAATAATAAAAATGCTTTTTTTGTCTCATAATTGTTATAATTAGTTAGTTACCTATATCAGATTAATGTCTTTAAACTATTATAGCTAAACAATATTTAAGGGGGCCATTTTTTATTTTATAGGGAGTCCCAAAGTTTTTTGTTATTGTTACGCTACTGGAAACAGTAAAATATATATTATTAAAAACCAATTGTGTAAGAATAGAAAATAATATAACAAATACTATATACTATATAAATTTTATCAATGCATTGAAGAGAGAAATTAGAAATAAAATGATAGTTTGTAAAAGTGCACAGTAAAAATAGTAAAAAATACTAATTAATTGTTATTATTAATAGTAATTAATTCATAAATTACCAGATTATTGTTGGATGCAGACAAAGTTTGTAGATTTTTTAGGAAGAATATTTCAAACGGCAACTTTTTCAAACCAATGGAATCCATTTTTAAGGTTGTTAATGTATGGCAAATTGTGATTATAGATGTCCAATTCCAGAAGATATCTAGTTCATTTTTTGATGTAGGTAGTTTACTACCTGAAATGCTAAGATATTTAATCGGTAAATGGCCAATCTGTATAGGAAGTGTATGTAAATCGCAGTTTTCCAACACAAGTTTATTCAAATGTCTCATATTCAATACACGGTTGTCAAAACGATTTACAGCAACAAACTGSAGAGACATTGGATCAAAACGATTTATAAGGTCACTTTTAGCAGGTACTGTCTTAGGCATTTGATGTGTGCCGATTAATACGTTTTTTCCGTCAATAATGTTCTTAAGTTGACGGAAGAAAACGTAAAGCAATCTTTTGTCTTCGCATACTATCAATAATGCTTGYCTGGGCTCGCTGAACTCCAATCCCAACTTCCCTTGTTTGATGAAWTTGTGGTATATGTTTTGCAACATGGTGAGCTTGTAGTTTCTGACGTTCGGAAACATCGAGTTCTTCACACACACATAGTATTCGTCGTTTWGTTTTTTGGTCATCACACACGACCTGAGCGACCGAGTGTTCGGCCGAGCACAAGTTAGGTCTTGGACAATGAGCGAACATTGGATTAGCATCGTTATTCCTTTACGCGCGTTCACAATGTTCACCAAAAACGAAAAGACTGTCGAAGAGTCAATGAAACGAACAGCCGATCCAGCCAGCTAACTACGTAGTGGCTACTGGCTAGTGCCTTGAATTTATTGATCCGCGATGGCTGTTAAACGGCCCTCAAAAATCGGTATCTCCGCCATTCGGTGTCTTATCACAAAGCTTTGCGGGATAAAACAAATTTGAATATCATAGGTATTGAACGAATCGGAAGCGGCGCTGAAACAGCTGATCGGTCGCTTCTGTTTCATGTTTATTCCCTCCATAAATTCATACTCCGATGCACGGAGACACAGTGATATTTAATAGGAAAAAATAAAAATGCAGTAATCCATACGGATTACGGAATGATTTCGTACAGACAAGCGTATCAAAGTTTAAGTATTAAATTTTGAGTATCGCTGGTATACCACATATATGCGAGATTTTCAAGGAGGAAATTTGGACTGTATCGATWCGTATCGATTTGATTTTGAGTGTTCAAGAAGTTCAATATACAAACGATACGTACTGACCTATATCGTTCTCTTAGACTTCGATACGAGTCAGTACGAACTATTTCTTCTTGAAAATCTTGATGACTTCTTGAACGCTTAATATTGAACGACCGATAYGAATTTTAATTACGTACGATTAAACAATAAATATTTTAACATATCAAAGCACTATAGTAAATGACGCGTAATATTTTGACTAAAAAAAATGTATAATTATTGGTTACTGTCTTACTGATTAGTAAAYACAATTTGACATATTTTGAATTACGAGTCAGAAACATTTTTAAATGTTTGAAGTGTGAATGTCCAACTATAGGCAGGGCTGGGTAGAAACTGAAATACAATATGTATTTTAGATACATAACTGAGTCACTCATTTCACATTTGTAACTACCTATTATTTTTAATTATTTTTTTTTAATGACTTGTAATAATTAATAGATATAAGATATTTTGATATTAAAATGTTATAATATTATGTACCTATTCTAATTTAAAACTTAAATTGTTGGTACCTAATCATGTAGTCGTGTAATATAATCATATCTATTTAGTCATACAAAGTAAATATATTGACCTTTAATAGGACGGACGTATTAAAGTTGGGTATGGCGTCTTCTTATTTATATAAATATTAGGTAAGTAATAATACAATAATAGCGTCGGCCTTGCCAATTATCAACATACAAAGAATAGGTACTTAGGTATAATAAAACAATAATTTAAATAGTTTTTTTTTTATTTAATTTGTTACTTTTACAATAATATTCATCGTATTATGATCATTATATAATATTTATATTTATAACTTCCTAAGCAAATTTTAGAAAACCCTGCCTTTTGATATTTTATCAGACATAACATTAAAAAAAAACTTTATTGAAATACTCTTATAATATTAGTTATATTTAGGTTAGGTACCTAATAATTTTAAAWCCAAAGAAGTCGCTCTGCTGTCTAACATAGGTAATATAAATATATAATATTATATATTAGTTTTGAAGTAGGTAAGTACCTATACCTTATAATAATATTATATTACGTGGATACGTGTACATTTTACGCGTAAATACCTATCCAATTCGTAAATAATAATATTAAAAATKTATAAAAATGTTACTTCAAAATAATTTGCTAATTTTCGCAACCCTGACGAATTCCAATATTTTAATTTCATACATTCATATAATGTTACTATAAAGATTTACGCTCAACGTTTCAATGTTTCCAATGTAAAAACTGTATGAAGAACCGTCTGTAATATTTTTAAACTGTTTTGACCAAGCATATATTTTTCGTCGATGGTATAGTATTTTATWTAAAAAAATCTGAAATTACACGTCTCTTAAATAGCACAAAAAGATTTTTTTTTTWAATTACCATGTATTTAAACAATTATGCTACGAACATTAAATTAAACTTCAAGTAGGTTATCTATAGTAACTTTTTTCCTTTTATTATAAAAGGATGACATTCGGACATTTGTTTTCTACGTCTTACAAATATAGGTGTAACATGACAACATGGTAAATTTTACATTCACAATAATACGTTTTACTCTTAGTTTCTATAAAATGAGAGTAAATTTCAGCTTATAAAATTTAAAAGAAAGAATACTATATCTAGGACATCTCTGAAGATTTGATTGATATTAGATATTATTTTTAAATAAATTGTAACCATTTTTAAACTGTTTTCTTTTTTTAACATTTTAAAACGTTCATAACTTACTTAACAATAACAATATCAATAAAATATTAAAACATTCCGAGATGCCCTAGATCAGTGGCGGCCACTGGCCAAACTATAGCCCGCGGGCCAACGCCGTCGCGCCATAATTTATTATCTGGCCGCAAAAGTATATTCTTCACTTATTTACGTTCAAGTAATCAAAATATTATRAATACAGTACCTATACATAATTACATTCTTCATATTTAATCCCGTATCGCTATGCCGTAGTGTTTTTGTAATTACAACGTAATTTAATAATATAAATAGTATTATATCATAATATCTTATTTTATTTTTGTAGGAGCATGACGACTGTAGATAAATATATAATATTTATATAAATTTGTAGTAATTATTTAGTTTAAGTATTAAATAAAACAGTTAAAATGAGTAAGTACAATGAAAACGTCGTTAAATATGTAATTACATACCTATACTTAAAATGCTATAATGACTAAAGTTTAAAAGCATTTTTTTTCAAATTTTAGACCCGGCAGAATTTTTTTCTTGTGGYCCGTGGAAAATAAGTTTGGACACCGCTGTGGTAATATTCTTGCCTTTAAATTTTACTAATCAATAATTTCGTATATATGCCATATTACCATTATTACCACATGTATATAAACCAGTTCCGTAACTTGGATTTTTTTTAGGGATTCAATATTTTATTGATAGGGCTAGGGTATTGCCGGCTTTTTACAATATAGTATAATATAAGACTTATATTTCAGGATGGGGGCTTAAGCACTGATATAAGCAAGTGCGGATTAAGACTAAGAGCGCGTATAGACTTTGGAAAATGCAGTAGGTACCTATACCTACTCCATTTTACTATAGCCTTTTGTGAAAGTATTTTTTTTAATATTTAATCTCCGTTTATATAAGTATATTGTAAGTAAAAACTTTTTACACTTTTCAATCTATATACAAAAACTCTTCAAGATTCAACTAGAATACCTAAATTATAAAACAATATTTTTGAAACACCAAAAAATGGAYAGATAAATAAAAAGTAAAATAATAAAAATAAAATACCTATATAAAATAAATTGCGATCGTATATGTTTCACGTACCAAATATCCATTGATCAGTTTTTTTAGGGGGCTCCATAATGAAATACAAAGATCCGAAAAAATTCACACGGCATTTTGCTGAACCAATTTTTCTTTACCTCGAACCCCTAAAATACTYGAGATGACCCTGGCCTCTGTAAAGACAATTTGCGACTAAAAATTACTAATATTTTGATAAATACTTTACAGAGTACCAACTCCCTTATATTATATACACCAGGAAATAGGAATACGCCAAGTATAAAACTTAAGAAACTCAAAAAAAAATGCACTAGCGACCATGGTTTAACCAACTCTTAATAATGACAATACGCATATACATAGTTATATTATTATAATATTACATCATTATTTTTAGTTAGGAATATACAATCTAATCTACTGACTACCGGCAGTGTACCTATATACTATATCATGAGCCAAACCTCATTTTATTTAAACAAAAATGTTTAAGTCATATCAGATTTAGTTTATTTAACTTCATTACTGTTGGTTTTATTAATTTAACAAGACCACAGACAAACAATGTTTTAATCTGCAGTTTCCTCAGTTTCCTGTCAATAATATTTTAGTTATACCATATATGGTTATTTATTTTTTGATAAACATAAGGTCGACTTTATCAAAACCTTCAGGTTTAACATAAAAATTCACATTTATCTTATTTTTTTTTTCATTTAACCCTATGATTAAAAAAAACACTGAGCATTCTTACTTCTGATTTCTGAGCTCCCAAAGTATTAACTAGATTTACTTTCCTATCAATAAAAATATTGACATTGAAAATCGAAGCATTTTTTTCTTCTTCCCGGTGTATAAAATTATAAAAAGTACCTTCGGATACCTACACTAAAAACCATACATTAAAAATTCTTAAATTTTGAATAGATAAATATATAAATTATAATATATATATATAAATCATGATCCTATATAGAGGAAGTTATAACATTATAGCCTTCACAGATTATGAGTACCTTAATACCGGGCATATATACATTTAATATGAGTTATAATTAAAATAAGTTTATTATAATATACATTATAGTATTGATAGCAAGTATATTTTATAGAAACACTCACACACGAACRTGTTGGTGGTATAGCCGACAGTGGGCGTGATCAGTTTCCTTGACAGTTGTTCTCGGTAAGGTTTCAAACGGTTCAGCAGCGTACTTTTTCCGGCGTTGTTCAGCCCGACGAATAGAATGCGCGCCTTCCGCCGACGTGGTGTCCGTCTCACAAATCCCAGTATCCTCGTCAGCTTCCGCCAAATGTTCATTATCCTTTCCGATGACAGGTGGTTGCGGGTGTGCAAAAGGGCGATGGTAGCAACTGACGTCTTTTCACAAAAACRCCACGTTTCGGGTCAGTTGTCTTGGTCGATGGTAAAATCGACCGAGTTKGACGTGCAAAACTGATGACGACCTGCATGACTCGTCGTCATTGATAAAGCTGCTCTCGCACGCGCACTCACAAGTCGGCTAGCTACTTATAGGTTTTTGCCTAGCTATAAACCCTATTCCTACAACAATCGTCATGGTTACCCGGCACGAAGTTGTGCACACAATAGTTATACTCATGATCATTATTACTATTATTGTTATTATTATTACCTATTTATGTTTACATTAAAGCATTAAAGCTGCTGCATGACTACAAGGGACATAATATGGTAATAATACTAATAACTTATAATAGGTAATAAAAAAATATTACATTAGGTATTATTTATTATATTATAATATCGGCTTACAAATTATAGTTTTATATACATACTGTAAAGCTTGGATATATTTTGAGCATAAAGTGTACATCGCCATCGACGCCATCATCGTCGCACGCTTGAGACTTCTTTGACATGGAATTCACGGTGATTAACTCTGACGTTGGACGGTCTGGCAGAATCGATTCGGATGCATTGCCGACACGAAAATTCGAACACGCCGGATGCCTAGATCTCAGTTGTTCGAGTGAGATTATAATATCATATTTCATATTATGACTATTGCATCTATAACTATTATAAACGATTTTATGATTATTTATTTTGACGTATATTATTACTTGTTTCTTAACCCTGGTATGAACCTAGAACCTATATAATCCGTGGGTCGTAACTCGTAAACATGAGGTTCATATTTTCAATTTTAGTAAATTTAAAAAGGTTTGTACATTTWTATCATACTTAAATGGATATACTAAATATACACATATATACGTGCAGTATATTAAAATAATATTTACATTTAATGAAAAATACTTGAAAAAAATGTGTTTATTTAAGTAACAAGTACCTATATTATATTATTTATAATCTTATTACTGAAAGTTCGTCAGGGRAAAAAATTAAATATATCATACACCTAGTTATATTATAAAAAGATACTTATATTTATAGCTCTGTCCTCTCATGACTGTATTATAGTATGCGMTATGGCGCTATGCAAACATTGCAAACCCATGTGCATAAACTATATACTATATAGTAGGTATACCTACCTACCTGGCTTATACGTTTTACACTTCTACGATATGCGATTATTATTAAATTGGAYGTATGATGAAGTTATTATTCTTTTTAGATTTTACCTGCAGTTTGTAAAATAATGTCCTTTCTATACTATTTAAACTACCTACCTATATTGCAAATGGCACTTATGAATAATTCAATAATATAGCATGTGAAAAATACAATATATAAYGAACATTTTAATATTGACTTTCTGTAATTATAGTGAAAAATGTTTTAAACTGCTTGATGATAATCATTTTATTGTATACAGATATTCTACACATAGCCAATTTGTGTTTGATATCGTCCACTAATCTTACGTCGTTAAAATTRCCGGTCAACCGTATTGATAAAATTTGCAATCTCGATTCTTACACAAACCTTGTCGAATTGGATCTTTCTCACAACTATATTAAGCAAATCGAAAATCTTGAGGTAATTCGATTATCAATTTTTAGGTAATCTGTACGGCTATAATATAGGTGCAGGTGTATAAAATTAAGTGCTAGAGAAAGTAAACCATATTCGTTACTTACGTTGTACATATAGCCGCTATATGTACAACGTAAGTAACGAATATGGTTTACTTTCTCTAGCACTTAATTTTATACACCTGCACCTGATTTCAAACAAACTATAACACAACTTTTGTATATAACTTATAAGTATGTTATAAAATCAAAATCGAAAAGTTTAATTTATTATTACTATCATATATTATCAAGATGTCAGGCCGGGTAAGGCCAATTGTTTTTAATCCACATATTATATATTTTAAACCTAAAATAGTTTAAGTAAAGTAAATATTTTTATTTTGAAAATGTATTTGAAATAAAATAAACAAAATGGTTAACTTGAAATATAAACAAAAACAAAAGCTAATTTTCACTATATTAGAAATAAAACATAGCGATGATGACCTATGAAGACATATTAAAATTAATTATAATAT